TTACAATGACGGCCTACCAAAAGGCAAAAGGCCTCCTGCAGGGACGGGGGCTGGGATTACAAATTAAATAAAAATACAGGACAAAACACACATCATGACAAGAGAGACCTAAGACAACAACACAGCAGAAACACATGACAACAACACATCACGCGATGGTAGCAACACAACATGACAACAACATGGTAGCAACACCACATGTTAGCAGCACAAAACATGGTACAAACATTATTGAACACAGACAACAGCACAAAGGGCAAGAAGGTAGAGACAACAATACATCACACGAAGCAGCCACAACTGGCAGTAAGAGTGTCCATGATTGAGTCTTTGAAGAGATGGAGATAAAACTGTCCAGTTTGAGTGGTTTTTGCAGCTCGTTCCAGTCGCTAGCTGCAGAGAACTGAAAAGAGGAGCGACCCAGGGATGTGTGTGTTTTGGGGACCTTTAACAGAATGTGACTGGCAGAACGGGTGTTGTATGTGGAGGATGAGGGCTGCAGTAGGTATCTCAGATAGGGGGGAGTGAGGCCTAAGAGGGTTTTATAAATAAGCATCAACCAGTGGGTCTTGCGACGGGTATACAGAGATGACCAGTTTACAGAGGAGTATAGAGTGCAGTGATGTGTCCTATAAGGAGCATTGGGGGCAAATCTGATGGCCGAATGGTAAAGAACATCTAGCCACTCGAGAGCACCCTCACCTGCCGATCTATAAATTACGTCTCCGTAATCTAGCATGGGTAGGATGGTCATCTGAATCAGGGTTAGTTTAGCCTACACACACCCACTGGTAAAGATGTTCAGCAGACAGGCAGACACTGGAATATGTTTCTGAGCGACAGAGGGAGGGTTTAGGCATAGGCGTTTTTTTGTGGGACTGAAAAATACATCCGGAATGTAAAATAACTTTATTATCCGGTTCCCATACTTTAAAATAATGATTTTTGTTCCGGAATAGTATAGATCACTTTCGTTCCCGTTTCTGATTGTTCCTCAAACATTTTTGTTAGCTTATGATTTAATGTACCTAATAAAAAAATCTAAAAGTTCCATGTGTTTCCATCACATTTTCAACTCTACTGATAGTTTTGTCACAAGAACTGTTGCGTTAAATAGCAAACGTGCCTACTCAAGGTCTTGGGAACCTGCGCTCTAGCCAGCAGCTGGCAGATGCAGCGCAGGTGGGCTGTGCTGGGAGACTAGTCTACACGATCAGATGTCATCAGAATAAGACCCTCAATATTTATTGGAAAGGAGCATCAAGCTCATCACCTTGCACTTTCACCACCCTGTGAAGTTCATCATAATGTGTAGCCTAATAAAACTGCATGCTTTCCCGAGTCCTATCATCGTGTGACTCCAAGTTTACTCCGATGTGATGATTATTATATCAATATTTGCGCATAAAGGCGTTTCCACCGCCATTTCTCGCATAGTTCATTTTACAGACACAAAACGATCCCACCATGTCAAAAGAACAAATGATCTGTCTGCATTTATAAAATTGTACCGAAAACATCCTGTTTCCATCACAGCTCTCTTGCTTAAAAAAAAATAAAATACGGTGTGACTTTACTCGCATAAAAACTGTGGATGGAACCGTGGTTATTGGCTGCTACATGTTCTCCTCTATCGACAGATATATGTGGTATACCCAAGTTCTTTGAGGTTCGTTTTTTTTCTTCAGAATTGCGCAAATGGTTCCATTGGTTTCCATACAATGGCAATGTGTAGCGTTCATGTATTGGTCTTCAACATATCACAACTTATTTCAGCATATTGATTATGAATTTGGACGTTTAAAACCGGTGGCCATGACAACAGGAAACAGCAACAGTATAATTTTCAATGTGTGTTTTAGGAATATAAATGGTACTTTTAACAGGATTTTTCAACAGGATTCTACTTAATCAGGTAAAAAAAAAAACGACTGAATGAACCCAAAAACTTGACTATGATTTATTGATTTTGATCATATTAGTGAAATCGTGAAAATGAGTTTGTCCTGGCGATGAACAGGTTCCGTTCTGTTAACTGGTCTGTCATTAAGGAGGAGCAGTAGGACAGTCTGCCGATACTCTGCCAATACAGCTGGTTGATGGAATATCTGTCCTTCCAATGAAAGGGAATATTGAGCATGAAGAGATTGAACGCAGAGGAGGTAAAGTAATCCACATTACTCTAAGATATAGACGCTTATTAGAGGACATGCTTTCATAGATATCCTGAGATTCAGTTATTTATTATCAATATATTGATCATAAATGAAAATAGTATTTTCAGCACGAGATTCCTGTTTGGAGCATCTTGCACATGAACGCACGCATTCTGCATTCCTTTAGCTTTTGAATGAATCTTAAGCTATATTGGTCTATCGGAGTGTCAGTGTCAGTGTCCAGCTGTTAAATAAGCTTGTACATCATTATTGATATAGTTGTGGCTCAGTGACAATCAAAGTAATTTCATTTCCGGACCATGGACAGCAATAAAACACTGTGTAAAAACACAGCGGTAAAAATGTCAGTCAACCAGTAGATCTACATGACATTTACATTTTAGTCATTGAGCAGACGTTCTTATCCAGAGTGATTTATATTTTAGTCAGTAAGCAGACGTTCTTATCCAGAGTGATTTATATTTTAGTCAGTAAGCAGACGTTCTTATCCAGAGTGATTTATATTTTAGTCAGTAAGCAGACGTTCTTATCCAGAGTGATTTATATTTTAGTCAGTAAGCAGACGTTCTTATCCAGAGTGATTTATATTTTAGTCAGTAAGCAGACCTTCTTATCCAGAGTGATTTATATTTTAGTCAGTAAGCAGACCTTCTTATCCAGAGTGATTTATATTTTAGTCAGTAAGCAGACGTTCTTATCCAGAGTGATTTATATTTTAGTCAGTAAGCAGACCTTCTTATCCAGAGTGATTTATATTTTAGTCAGTAAGCAGACCTTCTTATCCAGAGTGATTTATATTTTAGTCAGTAAGCAGACGTTCTTATCCAGAGGGATTTATATTTTAGTCAGTAAGCAGACGTTCTTATCCAGAGTGATTTATATTTTAGTCAGTAAGCAGACCTTCTTATCCAGAGTGATTTATATTTTAGCCAGTAAGCAGACCTTCTTATCCAGAGTGATTTATATTTTAGTCATTGAGCAGACGTTCTTATCCAGAGGGATTTATATTTTAGTCAGTAAGCAGACCTTCTTATCCAGAGTGATTTATATTTTAGTCAGTAAGCAGACGTTCTTATCCAGAGTGATTTATATTTTAGTCAGTAAGCAGACCTTCTTATCCAGAGTGATTTATATTTTAGTCAGTAAGCAGACCTTCTTATCCAGAGTGATTTATATTTAGTCAGTAAGCAGACGTTCTTATCCAGAGGGATTTATATTTTAGTCAGTAAGCAGACCTTCTTATCCAGAGTGATTTATATTTTAGTCAGTAAGCAGACGTTCTTATCCAGAGTGATTTATATTTTAGTCAGTAAGCAGACCTTCTATCCAGAGTGATTTATATTTAGTCAGTAAGCAGACGTTCTTATCCAGAGTGATTTATATTTTAGTCAGTAAGCAGACGTTCTTATCCAGAGTGATTTATATTTTAGTCAGTAAGCAGACGTTCTTATCCAGAGGGATTTTCAATAGCGCGTGCATAAATGTTCATACTTTTTTGCTCTGGTACCCCTGTGGGAATCGAACTCACAACCCTTGTGTTGCAACCAACAAGAGCTACCCTAACTATCATTATGAATCTGTATAGGGTCTGTTTTACAAACAATAGAGTAGTTGTTCAACTCTTACCCTATAGGACAGGGGTATTCAACTCTTACCCTATAGGACAGGGGTATTCAACTCTTACCCTATAGACAGGGTATTCAACTCTTACCCTAAGGACAGGGGTATTCAACTCTTACCCTATAGGACAGGGGTATTCAACTCTTACCCTATAGGACAGGGTTATTCAACTCTTACCCTATAGGACAGGGTTATTCAACTCTTACCCTATAGGACAGGGGTATTCAACTCTTACCCTATAGGACAGGTGTATTCAACTCTTACCCTATAGGACAGGGGTATTCAACTCTTACCCTATAGGACAGGGGTATTCAACTCTTACCCTATAGGACAGGGGTATTCAACTCTTACCCTATAGGACAGGGGTATTCAACTCTTACCCTATAGGACAGGGGTATTCAACTCTTACCCTATAGGACAGGTGTATTCAACTCTTACCCTATGGGAGCAGGGTTATTCAACTCTTACAATACGAGGTCCGGAGCCTGCTGGGTTTTCTGTTCTACCTGATAATTAATATCACCCACCTGGTGTCCCAGGGCTAAATCAGTCACTGATTAGAGCGGAATAATTAAAAAATGAAGTGGAACTTTGAGGTCCAGAGTTGAATATGAGGGACATATAGGTTCTACTGTAACATTCTGCCATCTCCTTCTAAGGTCAAGACACGAGGAAACACTGAGGAGCAGTACAGTGTAACCCTGGTCCCATGCTAAAACCAACGATCCAGATCATTTCAGATCATTCCAGATCCCTGAGCGGAGTCAGGAGTCTTCTGAGAACTCTTCCCGGATCTCTGTAACCTTACTTCTGGGATGAAGAGGTTGCCCTAAGCAACAGAGAGCTCACACAAGCACAGGCAGGTTCTGGATGGAGTGAGCCGGCCCTATTTCAACGTACAGCTATCTGAGAACCAAAGCACGAGCACAGGCAGGTTCTGGATGGAGTGAGACGGCCCTATTTCAACGGACAGCTATCTGAGAACCAAAGCACAAGCACAGGCAGGTTCTGGATGGAGTGAGACGGCCCTATTTCAACGTACAGCTATCTGAGAACCAAAGCACAAGCACAGGCAGGTTCTGGATGGAGTGAGCCGGCCCTATTTCAACGTACAGCTATCTGAGAACCAAAGCACGACTCTGGCAGTGACATCACCACCATCATGCTCCAACCAACTGAAGCCCATTCCTGAAGATTGAGTGGATGGAGGGAGGAGAGGGGAGGAGACAGAGATTGGAGGGAGGAGAGGGGAGGAGACAGAGGATGGAGGGAGGAGAGAGGAGGAGACAGAGGATGGAGGGAGGAGAGGGGAGGAGACAGAGGATGGAGGGAGGAGAGGGGAGGAGACAGAGGATGGAGGGAGGAGAGGGGAGGAGACAGAGGATGGAGGGAGGAGAGGGGAGGAGACAGAGGGTGAGAGGAGGTGGTGGACGGGTGTGCTTGTGGCTGTTCCTAGCGTGTGTGTCGCTGGGGGATGACCTGGGCTGGGTGACCCCTGGAGTTCATGTTGGGGTCAAGGCTCAGGCCAATGAAAGGAGAGTCCTGGCTCACATTCCTGGTGACATCATCATAGGAGCGCTGTTCTCTGTTCACCACCAACCTCCTGCAGATAAGGTACACTGTGTGTGTTGGAGTCTGTGTGTGTGTGTGACGGTGTGTGTGTGTGATGGTGTGTGTGTGTGATGGTGTGTGTGTGTGAGACGGTGTGTGTATGGGATGGTGTGTGTCTGTGTGTGTGTGTGTGTGACGGTGTGTGTATGTGATGGTGTGTGTGTGTGATGGTGTGTGTGTGTGTGTGATGGTGTGTGTGTGTGTGTGTGATGGTGTGTGTGTGTGATGGTGTGTGTGTGTGTGTGACGGTGTGTGTGTGTGATGGTGTGTGTGTAACGGTGTAAGTAAGGAACGGTGAGAGAGTTGTATGGTATCCAACATGTGTGTGTTGGATTGTGTATGTGTGTGACGGTGTGTCGTGTGTGTGTCTGTGTGTATGTGTGTGTCTGACGGACTGTGTGTGTGACTTAGTGTGTGTGTGTGTGTGTATGTATTCCATAGGTCCATGAGCGTAAGTGTGGAGAGGTCAGAGAGCAGTATGGTATCCAACGTGTGGAGGCTATGATGCACACTCTGGACCTGATCAACTCTGACCCTCACCTACTCCCCAACATCACCCTGGGCTGTGAGATCAGGTACGGACTCTTTGGGTAGGGGTGTGTGTGTGTGTGCGTGTGTGTGTGTGTGTGTGTGTGTGTGTGTGTTAGATTCAGCTGCATAATGGTTGTACTCCACAGGGACTCATGCTGACAATATCACTAACCTTGTGTGTGTGTGTGTGTGTGTGTGTGTCTCTGTGTGTGTGTGTGTGTGTGTGTGTGTGTGTGTGTGTGTGTGTCTGTTTGTGTCTGTGTGTGTGTGTGTGTGTGTGTGTGTGTGTGTGTGTGTGTGTGTGTGTGTGTGTGTGTGTGTGTGTGTGTGTGTGTGTGTCTGTCTGTCTGTCTGTCTGTGTGTGTGTGTGTGTGTGTGTGTGTGTGTGTGTGTGGTCTGTGTGTGTGTGTGTGTGTGTGTCTGTGTGTGTGTGGTGTGTGTCTGTGTGTGTGTGTGTGTGTGTGTCTGTGTGTGTGTGTGTGTGTCTGTCTGTGTGTGTGTGTTTGTGTCTGTGTGTGTGTGCCGGCCTCTGTGTGTATCCCCCCTTACAGGGACTCTTGCTGGCACAGTGCAGTGGCTTTAGAACAGAGCATAGAGTTTATCAGAGACACACTGGTCTCCAACGAGGAGGAGGAGAGTCTGAGCCTGGGGAAATGTCTGGGGGAAGATGGAATAGAGGTGACCCCTGTCAGGGGGAAGAAACCCATTGTAGGACTGATAGGGCCAGGGTCCAGCTCTGTGGCCATCCAGGTGCAGAACCTGCTACAGCTGTTCAACATACCACAGATCGCCTACTCTGCTACCAGCATGGACCTCAGCGACAAGGTAGGGCAGAGATATACTTTACACTCACACTCTCCTATAGTCTGTATCAGTACTTTATGAGTACTGTGTTTCTGTTCTAGAATCTGTTTCAGTACTTTATGAGTACTGTGTTTCTGTTCTAGAGTCTGTTTCAGTACTTTATGAGTACTGTGTTTCTGTTCTAGAGTCTGTTTCAGTACTTTATAAGTACTGTGCTATAGAATCTGTTTCATTAATTTATGAGTACTGTGTTTCTGTTTTAGAGTCTGTATCAGTACTTTATGAGTACTGTGTTTCTGTTGTAGAGTATGTATCAGTAGTTTATGAGTACTGTGTTTATGTTCTAGAGTCTGTATCAGTACTTTATGAGTACTGTGTTTCTGTTCTAGGGTCTGTTTCAGTACTTTGTGAGTATTGTTTCTCTTTTAGTCTATCAGTACTTTATGAGTATTGTGTTTCTGTTCTAGAGTCTCTCTCATTACTATGGAGTCTGTTTCAGTAATTTATGAGTACTGTGTTTCTGTTCTAGTCTGTATCAGTACTTTATGAGTGTTGTTCCTCTTAATACTCTATCAGTACTTTAGGAGGACTGTGTTTCTATTCAAAAGTCTATCAGTACTTTATGAGTACTATGTTTCTGTTCTAGATGTCTGTATCAGTACTTTATGAGTATTGTGTTTCTATTCTAGAGTCTGTATCAGTGCTTTATGAGTACCGTTTCTCTATTCTAGAGTCTGTATCGAAATGTTATGAGTACTGCGTTCTAGAGTCTGTATCAGTACTTTATGAATACTGGTTTCTAGAGTCCTTCAGTACTTTAGGAGTACTTTGTTCTAGAGTCTATATCAGTACTTTATGAGTATTGTGTTTTTATTCTAGATTCTGTATCAGTACTTTATGAGTACGTTGTTTCTGTTATAGAGATTGTAAGAGTACTTGATGAGTATTGTGTTATAGGGTCTGTATCAGTACTTTATGAGCATTGCATTTCTATTCTAGAGTCTGAATCAGTACTTTATAAGCACTGTGGTCTAGAGTCTGTCAGTACTTTATGAGTACTGTGTTCTAGAGTCTGTATCAGAATGTTATGAGTACTGTGTTTCTGTTATATAGTCTTTATCAGTACTTTATGAGTATTGTTTATGTTATAGTCTGTGTCAGTACTTAATAAGTACTGGATTATATAGTCTGTATTAGTACTTTAGGAGTACTATGTTTCTGTTCTAGAATATGTATCAGTACTTTATGAGCACTCTGGTCTACTGTGTTCTAGAGTCTGTATCAGAATGTTATGAGTACTGTGTTCTAGAGTCTGTATCAGTACTTTTTGAGCACTGCACAGCTTATTCTCCCGTGTTGAATCAACACTGACAGTGTTAAATATAACACTGGTCTGGTGTGTATATGAGGCCACACTTCTCAGTGTTAAATTAACACTGTGCTTAGTGCTTACGCAGTTACACTCTGAATTTTAGGTACTGAACACTTTGTGTTAACTCTCACTCTTCAAAGTGAATTTAACTTCTGAATCAACACTAGAAATGTTATACTGAAAAATCAACAGTAGGTAACACTGGCCAATTGCTGTGTGTGTGTTTCTTTTCTAGAGTCTGTATAAGTACTTTATGAGGGTGGTGCCGTCAGATGCTCAGCAGGCCAGGGCCATGGTGGACATCGTCAAGAGATACAACTGGAGCTACGTCTCCGCTATACACACAGAGGGTAAGCTCTCCCTCCCCCTGAATACAAAAAGTGTTCTGTTTAGGGCAAAAACCAAACACATTACTCCATTGAGTACCACTCTTCATATTTTCAAGCATGGTGGTGGCTGCATCATGTGGGTATGCTTGTCATTGGAAGGACTATGGATTTTTATTTTATTTTTTATTTTATTTTTATGGCATAGAGCGAAATCCTAGAGGAAACCTGGTTCAGTCTTCTTTCCAGCAGACACTGAGAGACAAATTCACCTTTCAGTAAGACAAAAAAACTGAAACACAAGGTCAAATACTGTATACGCTGGAGTTGCTTACCAAGTACTTGACAGAGCTTGAATAATTTTTTTAATAATAATGTGCAAATATTGGACAATCCAGGTGTGCAACCTCTTAGAGACGCTCAGCTGTAATCGCTGCCAAAAGAGATTTGAACTTGTATTGACTCAATGGTGTAAATACGCTATATATACAAAAGTATGTGGACACCCCTTCAAATAAGTGGATTAGTCTATTTCAGCCACACCCGTTGCTGACAGGTGTATAAAATCGAGCACACAGCCATGCAATCTCCACAGACAAACACTGGCAGTAGAATGACCTGACTGAAGAGCTCAGTGACTTTCAACGTGGCACCGTCATAGGATGCCACCTTTCCACCAAGTCAGTTCATCAAATGTCTGCCCTGCTAGAGCTGCCCCGGTCAACTGTAAGTGCTGTTATTGTGAAGTGGAAATGTTTAGGAGCAACAACGGCTCAGCAGCGAAGTGGTAGGCCACACAAGCTCACAGAACGGGACCGCCGAATGCTGAAGCACGTAAAGGTCGTCTGTCCTCGGTTGCAGCACTCACTACCGAGTTGCAAACTGCCTCTGGAAGCAACGTCAGCACAATATGGGTTTCCATGGCAGCCACACACAAGACTAAGATCACCATGCGCAATGCCAAGCGTCGGCTGGAGTGGTGTAAAGCTTGCCGCCAAGATCTGGAGTGATGAATCACGCTTCACCATCTGGCAGTCCGACGGACTAATCTGGGTTTGGCGGATGCCAGGAGAACGCTACCTGCCCCAAATGCATAAAGCCAACTGTAAAGTTTGGTGGAGGAGGAATAATGGTCTGGGGCTGTTTTTCATGGTTCGGGCTAGGCCCCTTAGTTCCAGTGAAGGGAAATCTTAATGCTACAGCATTCAATGACATTCTAGACGATTCTGTGCTTCCAACTTTGTGGCAACAGAAGAGAAGGCCCTTGGCCTTTCCTGTTTCAGCATTACAATGCCCCCGTGCACAAAGCGAGATCCATATAGAACTGGTTTGTTGAGATCGGTGTGGAAGAACTTGACTGGCCTGCACAGAGGCTGGTATAGCAGCAAAGGGGGGACCAACTCCATATTAATGCCCATGAATTTGGAATGAGATGTTCGACAAGCAGGTGTCCACATACCTTCGGTCGTAATGTAGTGTAGATATACATGCAGTGCATTCAGAAAGTATTCAGACCCCTTGACTTTTTCCACATTTTGTTACATTACAGCCTTATTCTATGAGGGATAAAATATATATATTTTTTCAGCAATCTGCACACAATACCCATAATGACAAAGCGAAAACAGTGATGTGATATTTCAGTTTTTATTTCTAATAAATTTGCAAACATTTCTGAAAACCTGTTTTTGCTTTGGGGTATTGTGTGTAGATTCCAATCCACCTGATTGGAGTCCACCTGTGATACATTAAATTGATTGGACATGATTTGGAAAGGCACACACCTGTCTATATAGGGTCCCACAGTTGACAGTGCATGTCAGAGCAAAAACCAAGCCATGAGGTCGAAGGAATTATCCATAGAGCTCCGAGACAGGATTGTGTCGAAGCACAGATCTGGGGAATGGTACCAAAACATTTCGGCAGCATTGAAGTCCCCAAGAACTAAGTTCTTAAATAGAAGAAGTTTGGAACCACCAAGACTCTTCCTAGAGCTGGCCGCCCTGCCAAACTGAGCAATCGGGGGAGAAGGGCCTTGGTCAGGGAGGTGACCAAGAACCCGATGGTCACTCTAACAGCACTCCAGAGTTCCTCTGTGGAGATGGGAGAACCTTCCAGAAGGACAACCATCTCTGCAGCACTCCACCAATCAGGCCTTTATGGTAGAGTGGCCAGACGGAAGCCACTCCTCAGTAAAAGGCACATGACAGCCCGCTTGGAGTTTGCCAAAAGGCACCTAAAGACTCTCAGACCATGAGAAACAAGATTCTCTGGTCTGATAAAACCAAGATTGAACTCTTTGGCCTGAATGCCAAGTGTCACGTCTGGAGGAAACCTGGCACCATCCCTACGTTGAAGCATGGTGGTGGCAGCATCATGCTGTGGGGATGTTTTTCAACGACAGGGACTGGGAGACTAGTCAGGATCGAGGCAAAGATGATCGGAGCAAAGTACGGAAAGATCCTTGATGAAAACCTGCTCCAGAGCGCTCAGGACCTCAGACTGGGGTGAAGGTTCACTTTCAGTACTGTCCAAAAGGACAACGACCCTAAGCACACAGCCAAGACAACGCAGGAGTAGCTTTGGGACAAGTCTCTGAATGTCCTTGAGTGGCCCAGCCAGAGCCTGGACTTGAACCTGATCTAACATCTCTGGAGAGACCTGTGCAGCAACGCTTCCCATCCAACCTGACAGAGCTTGAGAGGGTCTGTTATTTATATTGTACTGTTATGTTATTTGCCACATGAGCCGAATACAACAAGTGTCACCTTACAGTGAAATGATTACTTACAAGCCCTTAACCAACAATGGAGTTTGAAGAAGTGTAAAAAATAGATAAGTAAAACATTTAAATTAAAATGAATTAAAGAGCAGCAGTAAAATAAAATAACAGTAGGGAGGCTGTATACAGGGGGTACCGGTACAGAGTCAATGTGCGGGGGCACCGGCTAGTTGAGGTAATTGAGGTAATATGTACATGTGGGTAGAGTTAAAGTGACTATGCATAGATAATAAACAGAGTAGCAGCAGCAATGCAAATAGTCTGGGTAGCCATGATTAGCTGTTCAGGAGTCTTATGGCTTGGGGGTAGAAGCTGTTAAGAAGCCTTTTGGACCTAGACTTGGCTCTCCGGTACCGCTTGCCGTGCGGCAGCAGAGAGAACAGTCTATGACTTGGGTGATTGGAGTCTTTGTCCATTTTTAGGTCCTTCCTCTGACACCATCTAGTATATACAGTAGGTCCTGGATGGCAGGAACCTGACATAGCTTGAGAGGATCTGCAGAGAAGAATGGGAGAAACTCCCCAAATACAGGTGTGCCAAGCTTGTTGCGTCATACTCAAGAAGACTTGAGGATGCAATCGCTGCCAAAGGTGCTTCAACAAAGTACTGAGTAAAGGTCTGAATACTTATGTAAATGTGATATTTCTGTTTTTTTTTTCGAATAAATTTGCTAAAATTTCTGAAAACCTGTTTTTTGCTTTGTCATTATGGGGTATTGTGTGTAGATTGATGAGGGGAAAAAACAATTTAATCAATTTGAAGAATAAGGCTGTAACGTAACAAAATGTGGAAAAAGTCACGAGGTCTGAATACTTTCCGAAGGCACTGTAGGTGTGTTTAGTCATGTTAAACTGTGTGAAGACTAGATTTCCTGAGTATTTAGCCATGTTAAACTGTGTGAAGACTCTAGATATCCTGTGTATTTAGTCATGTTAAACTGTGTGAAGACTAGATATCCTGTGTATTTAGTCATGTTAAACTGTGTGAAGACTAGATATCCTGTGTATTTAGTCATGTTAAACTGTGTGAAGACTAGATATCCTGTGTATTTAGCCATGTTAAACTGTGTGAAGACTAGATATCCTGTGTATTTAGTCATGTTAAACTGTGTGAAGACTAGATATCCTGTGTATTTAGTCATGTTAAACTGTGTGAAGACTAGATATCCTGTGTATTTAGTCATGTTAAACTGTGTGAAGACTAGATATCCTGTGTATTTAGTCCTGTGTATTTAGATATCTGTAAAGTTTAGCTGTATGCTTTTAAGCTCTTACTAC